CGTGTGGGATATCCAGGGTGATCTTGAGTTGAGTGCGTGTGAACAGCAGACTTGAGTACAGTGACGAACCAAGGGTTGTCCAGGCGCTGATGCGCCATAGCCATCTGAAGTGAGCTTGTATCTGAACTGTGTTCTTGGTTACCGCATCTCCGAGCTTTGAGTAGGCGCTTGTCGCCAGTTTGCTGCGCTACCTGTTTACATGCATGTGAAGTGTGAAAGAAAGCGAGTCTGATTTCACGATATCCTGGAATACAAAACTGCTCCGGCTGATCTCCCTGTGTCACGAGGGCCGAGAAGTTTCCCCGGACCACTGCTGCAAGGTGCTGCTCCGCCGCAGGCTGCTACATGTTCCGATACAGCTTGAGTTATGATGTATAATTAGTAGGTTCAGTAGAATTAGGCTTAGTTACTTTAACTAGCACAGTAGGTAGGAGCCTGGGAGGGGGTAAGGGTAGTTTAAGATCTAAATAAAAAGCTGGAAAAATCTGGAGCAGAAGAACTGCTGGGTTTTGTCTTGGTATTTAGTTCGAACCTGACTCATAGGATTCTTGGTAGGGCTCTTTGTACACTAAACACACGCTGTGATGGGGCTCTTCGTACATCCAATACATGTAGTAATGATTGACTGTGACAGTAGTAATTTGTGCTTTTGTGAATTCCTTTGAAAAACGTAGGGGTGGTAAATGTGTAAGCATTCTCTTAGAAATGAGTAGGTACTGTAGAACAGAAAATATGCATATACGTAGATTTTAGATATGCATGATCATGGGCTAAGATTCATTCTCAGAACAAGTAGGGGTACTGTGATTACGCCATGGGTTATTCAATAGAGTAGGGAATTTGGGATAAAGTCATGTGAACAGACTGTGCAGTGGATAATCAGGCGAATGGTGGATAATAGACTAGTATCCCCCTACGCCTTGTCTTCCTAGAGGACTCCCCTACTATGCGACAGGGTACCGACTGTGTGTTTCCCGGCTAGAAAGGGGTTCCCCGGAGAAGGGCAATGGCTTGAGGTACGACTGCTAATTTAATAGACCCCCCCCTTGGTAGGTGTCTCGAGCCCCAAGGGTAAGGCCTTTCCTCCCTTCGTCTATACCACTATCCTTTTTCTTCTCATGCTTGCCGGTGATAAGCAACCGGACAGATGCCCCCCAGAATAGATGGGGCCTTTGTTTTGTTCAAAAAAAAAAAAAAAAAAAAAAAGCTTCGAAGTTGAGGGGCCCTGGCGGCCATTGGACCCATACATCCTTTCCCAACGCTCGGTTATTAAAAAAAAAAGCAGAAAAACGAAAGAGACTGGGAGGGGGAGAGAGGAGGTGTGTGGTGGCAGACAGCGGCAACAGCCTGTCCGGGAGGGCACAGTAGCACAAAGAGTCATGAACATGTAGACTTAGAAAACAGACTCAAGCTTTGAACAA